CTCTTTCCCATAACCTAAAACAATCAACATTAACTATATATCATTCAAAAGAATTCAAAATGAGATTTCCTGTTCAACCTATATATTTTTTTTAATTTTTAAAAATTTACTTATTTATTTATGGGGGCATTGGGTCTTCATTGCTGCACGTGGGCTTTCTCTATTTGTGGCGAGCGGGGGCTACTCTTGGTTGTGGTGCAGGGGCTTCTCATTGCGGTGGCTTCTCTTGCTGCAGAGCATGGGCTCTAGGCTCATGTGGGCTTTAGCAGTTGCAGCACACGGGCTCAGTAGTTGTGGCTCACGGGCTCTAGAGTGCAGGCTCAGTTGTTGTGGAGTACAGGCTTAGCTGCTCTGCAGCATGTAGGATCTTCCCAGACCAGGACTCGAACCCATGTCCCCTGCAGTGGCAGGCAGATTCTTTTTTTTTTTTTAATATACTTATTTATTTTATTTATTTATTTTTGGCTGCACTGGGTCTTTGTTGCTGCGTGCAGGCTTTCTCTAGTTGCGGCAAGTGGGGGCTACTCTTCATTGTGGTGCGCAGACTTCTCATTGCAGTGGCTTCTCCTGTCGCAGAGCACGGGCTCTAGCCTCGCAGGCTTCAGTAGTTGTGGCACATGGGCTTAGTTGCTACGCAGCATGTACAATCGTCCCAGGCCAGGGCTCAAACCCGTATTGCCTGCATTGGCAGGCGGATTCTTAACCACTGCACCACCAGGGAAGCCCGACAGGCAGATTCTTAACCACTGCACCACCAGGGAAATCTCAACCTATATTTGATTTATTCTTCTAGTAACATATCACAATAACTCCTAATCTACGTTATTCACATAATAAGGTCTCAAACCCTTGTGTTCAATATGAAATCCTAAAAAGCACTCCTATCTTAAATTTAAAATGGGTAAGCTGGAAGGGACACAGAAACCATCTAGTTAAATCCACGTATATTTACAAATGAAGAAACAGAAGTCCAGAGAATCAACCTGCTAGTTAAGAGTAATAGTTTTTCCATCATTCTAGGTGGGTGTTTTATGTTTGTTTTTCTACTTTTCTTTTGTTGACTTTTTGTTGAAAAGGTCAAAGCTTCTTTAGAAAAGATATTAACAATCACAAACAGATAAACACAGAATTACCAAATAAACCAGGAATTCCACTCCTAGGTATACAGACAAACTAACTAAAAGCATATGTCCACACACAAAAATTTGTACACAAATTGTCAAAGCAGCATTATTCACAATAGCCAAAAAGAAGACAGAATCCAAATGTCCACCGACTCATACATAGATAAACAGCATGATACAGCTGTACAATGGAACAGTATTTGGCCATTTAACAAAATGAAGTGCTAATACATGCTACAAGATAGCTGAACCTAGAAAACATAATGCTAAGTTAAAAAAAAAGATTCAGAAGCCACATATGATTCCATCTACATGAAATGTCTACAAGATGCAAATCAAGAGACAGAAGGTAGATTAGTGGTTGTCGGGAACGGAGGGAAGACAGGAATTGCAGCTGACTACTATTATGTATGGGGTTCCATTTTGGGTGATGGAAAAGTTCTAGAATTAAATAATGGTAATGGTAGCCCAGCATAGTGAATATATGAAAAACCACTATATTATACACTTAAAAATGGTGAATTTTATGTTATATGAATTATATATCAACAAAAGTTTAGAAAATCATCAACAGATAAAGTAGAGCTGGCCAGACTGAAACATGGAGTAGGATAGGCAGTCCAGAACCTTTCATTAGAAGCAAATAACAGTAAAAAGATTATCTCATACACAGTTTATGAAAACATATCAGGTACAAAGTTGAAAACATAAACAAGAAAAAACACTGAAGACAAAATCATTTTTTAAAAAAAGTATGCCAAAACTCAAAAAATAAAGAATTTACAACCAAAGAAATAGAGACAAGATTAAGTGAAAGTGAAAAAGGACACAAAAGTATTGAAAATATCCTCAAAAAGAACCAAATAGCAATTCAAGAAAGTAAAAAGTTGATCACTGAAATTAAACAATAGTAGAACAGACAGAGGTGAAGGGCAAGTGCAAGCAAAGCCAGGCTGAGGAATTCTCTCATAATACAGTAGAGCACAAGGATACAGAAATTACAGAAGTTAGAAATGGTAACTGCAGTACAAGGTTCCAACATTCAATATCCACAGGTGAGAGGCAATATTCTATGAATAATAGAATAGCATTTCTCAGAAGTTAAAAAAGACATAGACCTCAGATTTAAAGGGGCCTAAGAGAAAAGTTGAGCAGATTTAAAAAATTAATCCACACTGGACATATCAAAACCTTAGAAAACAAAAGATGAAGAGAAAACTCTACTTGTCATAATAAAAAATTGGTTTCCTACAAAGTAAGAAGGATCATAATAAAAGCAGACTTATCAGCAACACTGAACAGAACGAAACACAAATACATATTCCAAGTTCAGAGGAAAACAAATTTGAACCTACAAATTCAGTAACCAAATCATCGTTCAAATTTTAGGACTATAAACTTTTCAGAATTCAGGAACTCAGAAAATTCACCAGTGACAGTGTCTCTGAAAGAATTCCTAAAGGATGCACCCAGCAAGACAAATGAAGAGTAAGGAGCGAAATAAAAGAAACAATAGTGCACTTCTGCTTCCAGCTATGAGCAAGTAACACTGTCCAAACTACATTTCCACAGTAAACAGCAAAAAAAACTGGACAAAGTGTAGGAATTCCTTTCAGACATTGGACAACAGGCTGCACAGGACTTGACCTCTGAGAAAAGTGACACAAGTGTGGGGAGTCCTAGCATAATCCAGGCTTTCTGCCTGGAGGTGATTTCCAAACTGCATCCAAACAGTGCCCCAGAATCTTATTCACTGAAGAAGCAACCATACTAGTTTGGGAAAGCCAGACAGAATTTCTGGAGACTTCCAGAGAGGAGGGAGTTACACTGAGAAATATTTCCTGAAATATGAATTTGTGTTCCCTTAAGTGTCGGGCTGAATTCCAATCTGTAATGCATAGGGAGAGCATAGCCCAGTCTTTAAAGGCTGAACTAAGAACAACTTCTGAAGAAAAAACTCTTAGAAGGAATGATAAAACAAACAATTCCCAGAGCTCACACAGGGCCAGAGCTCATTCAAATTTCCTCCAGCCAGAGATAAGAAATCTCACTGGATACACGAGATATTCAGTAGATAGCCCAGAAGTGGCAAGTTCAGAATTGGAGGATAAATTAGACCTAGAATAAAGACGATTCTAAACTTGCCTTAAGAGTGTTTAAAAATAAAGCTCAAAAGTAACTTCACTGCCTACCAAAAGGAATCCAACATTCTTTAAAGGAATACAGCAAAAGCCAGCAATGTTCATATTCTAATCAAAAATTAAAAATCCAATGCCTGCAATGATAATTTCACAGGATGAAATTAACAGTAGGTTGGAAACTGCAGAAGAAAAGATCAGTGAACATGAAACCAGAGCAAAATGAAGCAAATGGGTACAAAAACGGGGTGGGGGCGGGGGGAGACCAGAGGTCCAGTAACCTGTAGGATAAAATAATATAGGAGTAACTGGTGTCTCAGAAGGAAACTACGAGTAGAGGAGACAGAAAATATACCTGAAGAAATAATGGCTGAATACTGCCCAAATTTTATGAAAATGACGAATACACAGAGGCAGGAAGCTCAGTGAATGCTAAAGTCAGTAACATATACATTCAAAAAGCATAACAAAGCACATCATAATCAATTGCTGAAAACCAGTGATAAAGAGAGAAATCTTAAAAGTAACCAGAGGGGGAAAAAGATATATTTAAATAAACAAAGATAAGAATGAGCAAAGACTTCTGGTCAGAAACCAAACACGTCAGAGTACAACGAATTACATCTCTTAAAATGCTGAAAGAAAATAACTGTCAACCTAGAATTCTATATCCAGTGAAAGCATTCTTCAAAACTCAAGTTGAAGTAAACTTTTTCAGGTAAATAAAAGCTGAGCAAGTTCACTGCCAAAAGACCTGCACTAAGAGAAGTGATGCTCTTCAGGCAGGAAGAAAATGTAGCAAAAGGAAACCTGAATATATACAAAGAAGTGAAAGGAGTCAGAAATCACATATATGTGGGCAATTATATAATAGAAGGGAGAAAATAATATGGACAGAAATCAGTAAAATACAAAAAAAAAAGTAAAAAATGGAAGAAACTAAAGCTAGTTCTTCAAGGAAAAGAATCTATTAAACTGATAAACCTCTAACTAGACTAATAAAGAAAAAAGGAAAAAAAAAAACACTCATTAAAGAATCTGAATTATAACTGTTAAAGAAATTGAGTTAATAATTTATCAGTTAAATTCTTCCCACAAAGAAAATTCTAGGCCCAAATGGCTTAGATTCTATCAAATATCTAAGGAAGAAAACAATACCAATCCTACGATGACTCTTTAAGAAAATACAGGGGGAGGAAACACTTCCCAAGCTAATAACCTTCCTAATGGTGAAAGGCTGAATGCTTTCCTCTTAAAATCAGAAACCAGGCAAGGATGTTCCCTCTCACCCCTTCTATTCAACACTGTACTAGGTATTTTAGCCAGTGCAATAAGGAAGAAAGAGAACAGACATCCAGTTTGGAAAGGGAGAAGCAAAGCTGTCTTTATTCTCAGGTTACAGGATCACCTACATAGAAAATCCTATGAAATCCATAAAAAAGCAAGTAGAAGTAGCAAGTAAGTTTTCAGGATAGAAGATAAATATACATAATAGCAGCAATGAACAACTGAAAACTGAATTCAAAAATAAGTACTAGTAACAATCACATTAAAAATATTACATATTTAAGAATAAATGCGACAACAGATGTACATGACCTGTACACTGAAAACTACCACACATTACTATGAAAAATTAATGCAGACCTGTATAAATGGAGAGATATACCATGTTCATGGACCAGAACATTCAAAGTTGTCCAGTTGACCAGAACAATTCAAAGTTGTCAATTCTCTCCCAAATTAATCTCTAGATTCAATACAGTCTGAATCAAAATCCCAGCAAGCTTTTTTGTAGACAATGACAAGTTGATTCTAAAATGCAAAGGCGCTAGAATATCCAAAACAACAATTCAGGAAAGAATCACACTACTTAACTTCAGGGTATTATAAAGCTCCAATAATCAAGAACAGTGTGCAGTGCTTTATTAAAAGATTAAATGTTTGTTTACACAGAAAAATCACAGATGTGAGATAAAGAAAGACAAAACATATCAGTGTAGAGAAAACAGAAATATACTCACATATATATGATCAACTGATTTTCAATGAAAATGCCAAAGCAATTCAGTGAGGAAAGGATAATCTTTTCAATAAATGATTTCTAGAACAACTGAATACCCACATGCAAAACAATGGCTTCGACCCTTACTTCACACCATAAACAAAATGTAATTCAAAATAGATCACAAACTTAAATGTAACAACCTAAAATTTTAAAGCCTCTAAGAAGAAAACATAGAAGAAAATCTTAGTGACCTTGAGTTTGGCAAAAAACTTCCCAAATATGACACAAAAAGCAAGAAATATTAAAGACAAAAATTAATAAAATGGACTTGATAAGATTAAAAACGTATCTCCCAAGAACACCATAAGAAGGCAAAGCTTCTTTATGTAATCTAGTAGATACAGCTAATACATAGATACGTATTTCCTAAACAATTTTATTTGTAATAAACAAAAACTGGAATAAGTGACTGGATAAACAAATTATGGTATATCCATACCCAGCAATAAAAAGAAATTAATTACCAAGATGCGCCAGAACATGGATAAACCTCAGAAGTATTATGGGACAGAAAAAAAGCCACTGACAAAAGAGTTCATGTGAAACTCAAGACAAAGGTAATCTGTTATGACAGAAAGCAGACCACAGTTTCCTGGGAGTTGAGGTTTGTGGGAAGCGGGGGAGGAGGCCTGACCTGGACGGGGCACAGGGGAACTTTCCGGGGTGATAGACATTTTTTTCTTTCTTCATTTTGGTGGTGGTTTTATGGTTGTATGAATCTTGTCAAAATTTACACATAAAATAAAATTTTATTATATATAAACTAAATCCCAAAGTCGATTAAAAAAAAAAAGAAAGAAAGCAGCAGCAACAATAATCTAGGAAATCAGTAATCAGATGAATAGCACTGGGGCAGGAAGGACACACAACCAAAACTCAGCACCTAACCATGTAAGAATCCTCAATCTAGCAGTAGAAAGTGACTTCTTCAACCAAAAAAGGACATCTACAAAAAAATGCGACTAATATTATACTTAATAGTGAAAGACTGAATGTATCCCTAAACAGAAACAAGGTTAAGGATGTCCCTTCTCACTTTGTAATCATGACCATGCTTTAAAGGAGTCCTTGGTAGTACCCAGTAGTACTCAACTATATTTGCTGGTAAGTGTGCTTTCTTGTTCTCCAAAATGACCATTTCATCCCTTCCCTTCTCTTTTCGTCAAACCTCTTACACCCCCGTCCCTGGCACACTCTAAGCTGATAATTCCACCTATTTTATTTTTCACAAGGTAAAACAATCACGCAAACTCATCTTCCTACCATCAAATCTCTCAAGAAGGCAGAGGTTCTTTAATATATCACAAATAATGCCAGTAGCTACACAGAGTAAACACACATATAGAAAACCTTAGCACAGGATCTGGCCCTCACTCAAGAGAGGCCAAGTCGTCCGGTCAGCTTAATACTCAACCAGAACTTGGCGCATAAACAGAGGTCTTAACTTAGAAACTCTGGGCAATTGATTCTTCTCTATCCATCAACAACTCCTACAATCAGAAGCAGAGACATGTTCACCTCCTGAAATCTGGCATAAAGTCACAATAAGAAGATAATTAATCCCTAACCTTTGGTCCCCCACCTTTGAGAATGGTTCTTGCCATTAAAAAATATATATAACAATTATATATATATATAATTGTATTTGGTTTCTGACCAACAAATGTATTAAATGGGAAAAGTAAAGAAAAACACAAAATATGTATGCAACTTGCATAATAGCTGTTCCTTACCTGCTGGTGACGGGTGCTGGGAAAGGTGTACTGAACAGAGTGGGGAGGATAACGACTTTGCTCTGTGCTGAATGCTCCTTGGTTGGGAGGATAACCTGAACTTGACATTATCAGTAAAGAAGTCCTCACCAGGTTGTGAGATCAAGTGCAACAAACAATCATGCTTCTAGGAAACCACCTAAACAGGATGGGGAAAGAAAAGAATTGATAAGTACTAAAGCACAAGGTGTGCTTCTAATAACACAACTATAGCTACATAAACAAAACCACTATCATCAGTAAAAGCTTTCTCTCATGTTACTTACTTAATATAATAGAAGTTACTGGGGCTTTAAAAACATCAATGGGTCTTTTCCTCTATACTTAAAAAAGTTTCTTTAACATATCACAAATAATACCAGTACCTACATAAAGTGAACACACATAAAATCTTAGCTCAGGAGCCAGCACATAGCAACTGCTCAGTAAACATCCTTCTTTCAGTAAATATCTGAAACACAAACATTACATATTACAAAAACAAAAATCTATGGCTGTAAACTTGGGGGTTGTGAAAAAGTCAACTGTGAAAAGGATTCAAGAGTATTTATAAGGTAAGCATTTGCGCAGAGGAAATATTGTCTTTATTAAATAATTCTGCCCCAAAATGACAGGCTAAGAAGGCATTAGGGATAGAAAAGCTTTCAAGGAAGAACAAAGTGAGCCTATCACTTCAAGAAAAACTGCCAAATTTTTTTTGAAAATGAGGATTTTGGAAAAACTTCCATCTGCCACCATGAGCCTGAAAGCTTCCCCACATTTAAAGACTTTTCTGGCAAGATTGGTGGTGGTATTAACAAGTGTGAGTTTCCTATAATACATAATGAAATTTGAAGACCTGCATAACTCAATGAATCAATATTTTCCAAATGACCAATACAGAATTACAAAATAAGGCGTAAATGAAATATTTAAAGTACAAAACATTTTACCACAGTTAAATAAATAGGCGAAAGACAAACCAATAAATGTTTTATGTGACAGAATATGAAAGGTTTACTAATACGGTTTCAGATTCTACACAGTAACTAACGTTTAAAAATTTATCATTTGTCTGGTTTGGGTGTGATATCGAAGAATATCCACAATTATGTTAAAAGGCTATTAAAATACCCCCTCCCTTTTCTAAATACATGTCTACCTGAGGTTAGCTTTTCTTCATAAACTTCCATCAAAACAACATACTGGGGCTTCCCCTGGTGGCACAGTGGTTAAGAATCCGCCTGCCAATGCAGGGGACACAAGTTCAAAAACTGGCCCGGGAAGATCCCACATGCCACGGAGCAACTAAGCCCATGAGCCACAACTACTGAGCCTGCACTTTAGAGCCTGAGAGCCACAACTACTGAGCCGTGAGCCACAACTACGGAGCCTGCGCACCTAAAGCCCATGCTCCTCAACAACAGAAGCCACCGCAATGAGAAGCCCACGCACCGCACCGAAGAGTGGCCCCCGCTCGCCGCAACTAGAGAAAGCCACGCACAGCAACAAAGAACCAAAGCAGCCAAAAATAAATAAATAAAATAAATTTATATATATATAAGAAAAACATACTGCAAGATTGAATGCAGAAGCAGAAATGAGAAACAAGCTACCTTCTTTTCAGATACAGAAGAGGTCTGCAAAAATGTAAAACAATACCACTCTTCTCATCAAATTTTTTGTTATGTTTTGGAAAATACTTATTAAAATGTTATTTACGTTAAGATTTGGGTTTATATTATTTTAAAATAAATATCTTTTAAATTTCCCCATTTTAATATCTAATATGGTAAATATCAACATATATAACCCATATAAGCAAAAGCTCTTTGGAGGCCCAAATAATTTTTAAGAGTATAAAAGGAGTCTTGAGGCCAAAAAGTTTGATGACCACTGGCCTAGAGAATCAGGTCATCTTTAGATTGACTAGCATTAGTGCCCTACAGAGGCAGGTCACACCAGGTCTCTGCACTCCTAGAAACTCTGGCCCTGTTAAGGTGTGGCTTTGACATGATGTTTATGTCAAGTGAACTACTCTACTGGACCCGGGTTGTACCAATCAGATCCCCCTCCAGGAATCTGAATTGAGAACGTTAGCTATTGCGAAGTGGCCAGAGTAGGAGTCAAGGTGAGCCAGAGCATGTGCCAGAGAAGTTACAGGGGAGCAGAGGACGCCAGTCCAGACACAGACCAGAACAGGAGCAGAGAGAAGTGGAGCCCAGAGACCTCAAAGGCCCCCCGAGACACACTGGGAACTGCCTAGGCTCATACTCCTTGAATCAACCCCCAGAGAAGGTGCTGTATTTCTTTCTTTCTCCTTGTATACCTGTTAAACTGCCTACATAGTCTCACAGTAAGTCCTCTTTGCTTAATACAGGTGGAGTAGGTTTTTACATCTTAGAATCATGAGATCTCAAGTTAAGTCCCCAAATAACTATACAAACCTTGAACAATCCAAATGTCACGTCCATCAACGGAGGAAAAGACAGATAAAATCAGGTATATTCATACAAGGGAATATTATTCTGCCACAAAAAAGAACAAAGCACTGATATATGCTACAGCTTAGACAAACTCTGAAACATATGCTAAGTAAAAGAAGCCAATCATAGTGACTGATGATTCCTTTCATATGAAAGTCCAGAACAGCCAAATCCATAGCGACAGAAAGTAGATTAGTGGGTGCTTAGGGATGGTGGGGTGGGGTGGAGGAATAGTAGGTGATGGCTAAAGTATATGGAGTTTCTTTTGTCGTTCACTGTCGTAAAATATACATAACATAAAATTCACCATTGTAGCCATTTTTAAGTGTACATTTCTGTAGCATTATGTACATTTACATTGTTGTGCAACTATCACGCCATCCATCTTCAGAGCATTTTCATCTTCCCCTAAAGAACCTCTACACCCAGTAAACACTAACTCTCCATCCCCTCCCCCAGCCTCTGGAACCACCATTCTACTTTCTGTCTCTCTGGACTTGACTGCTCTAAGGACCTCATATAAGTGGAATCATATGAGTCACCAGTCCTTTTGTGACTGGTTTATTTCACTTAGCAGAAATCTTCAAGGTTTATCCATGTGTTAGCATGTATCAAAATTCCCTGCCTTTTTAAGGCTGAATTAATATTCCATTGTATTGGGGTTTCTTTTTGAGGTGATGAAAATGTTCTAAAATTGACTGTAGTGGTATCCGCACATATCTCTAATACATTAAAAACCACTGAATTGTACAATGTAAATGGATGAATTTTAAGGTACATAAATTATATCTCAATAAAGCTTTCTTTAAAAAATTACCTAGCCAAAATCAAACAAGCAAAAAAACTATACAATGCAACCACAAGATTTAAAAACAACTGTGCTGGGGCTTCCCTGGTGGCGCAGTGGTTAAGAATCCGCCTGCCAATGCAGGAGACACAGGTTTGAGCCCTGGTCTGGGAAGATCCCACATGCCGCGGAGCAACTAAGCCCGTGTGCCACAACTACTGAGCCTGCGCTCTAGAGCCTGCGAGCCACAACTACTGAAGCCCTTGTGCCACAACTACTGAAGCCTACGCGCCACAACTACTGAAGCCCACGTGCCTAGAGCCTGTGCTCTGCAACGAGAAGCCACCACAATGAGAAGCCTGCGCCCCGCAACAAAGAGTAGCCCCCACTCACCGCAACTAGAGAAAGCCCGTGTGCAGCAGCGAAGACCCAATGCAGCCAAACATTAAATGAATAAATAAATTTATTAAAAAATAAATAAAAACAACTGTGCTGCAGTCCAAGTTGACATATTCCATAGTTCACGAATTCTAATACCCACATGTTCATATCTTAAAAACTCTGAAGTCAATATCCATCCCACAATCACTAGCATTTTATGGTTTCATGAGTAGTACTTTTCTTTTAATCTTAGAGGTAAATAACAGTATCTTATAAGCAAAGACATCTTTTTGCTGAAATACAGTATTAGAGAGTTACTGCAACCAGTCTTAGGTTTCTGTCCTAAATCTCTCTCCAGAAAGCTTTTTGTCCCTTTAATTTGTTCCTTGACGCTTAGGATAAGGCAAGAAAATTAAGGACACTGATACTCCCAAAGTGATTTCCAATCTGAGGTCCTTCAAAAGACCAGGTAACGTTTGCGGGACTTTCAAGAAACCTAACAGAAACACATATACAAACAAGGGACAGAGGACACCCTCCTAAGCACAACCCCCAAAAGCACAAACAACAAGATTGTTATCTTTGACAGAGAAAAAATATTTCTGTAAAACAAAGACACCCTAAAATGGCAAACCGCAAACCAGAAAAAGCACAACAGCAAAATTCTGATATACATATACATATGTATCTTACAAATCAATAAGAAAAAATGATCGCAACAGAAATATAAGACATGACAGAAATACGGGATTAACAAAGGAAATAAAATTAATGAAGTCAACTTCAATAATGACAGAAAAGTAAAACAAAGAAACTGGCAAAATATTAAAAAATAATGCTTAGTGTCTGGTGAGGGTTTAGAGAAAAAGGTACTGTTTCAACACATTACTGGTGTGTATGTAAAATGGGTACAAAGTGCTTTCTAAAGAAGAATGGCAATTTATACAGCATCAGCCTTGAAAATATGCATATTCTCTACCATGGCAATTCCACTTCTAGGAATTCATTTGGTTATTCAATACAGATATATCCAAAGATGAATGCCTGAGGATGCTTCTCAAGGAACTGTCCTAAATATCCAATACACAAGCTTAGAAAATTGTTTTTTAAGAAATTTAGCTAATGAAAAATTTTACTTAGAACATGCCACAAAAAAAGTTCTTATAAATGAGAACATTTTGTTTTATGTAAGTATGATTTGTATATACCACTACTACTGTATTTTTCATGTGTCTATGACATCTTCACAAGACTTCAAGGCCAAAGGCAGAAATATCATGCACATATTCAGTTAACATCTACTGAACAGTATATACTGTGTGTCAACAGCTCTAAATGCTGGCATAGAATGAGACCACGATTGGCATCTTATCTTGAGGTGACATAGACAATAAGTGACCACAAAATACTATGATAAAGTGCTATAAATAAAACAGGACGGGAGAAGGGAAAGGGAGACATGTCTGGCAGGTAGAAAGCCAATCTCAGCTAGGATGACCGTATGCC